GCCCATTAACACAGGCCCAGTTACAAGATAAGTTAAACATAAGAATGGGCTAATAAGAACTCTTATCAGCCGAACATCACTCTAACATTCTAACAGATATAAACGATAGGAAGGGGTTTCTTCCTGAATTTCTTGCTCCAGCATCTTTGTTTATGTACCAGGGATTTGCTGGCTGAACAGTTCAGAGAAGAGAACTAGATGAGCCAAGAATCTTCACATTGAAGTCCCCATCACAGAAATCACCCCTGAATGGCCCAGAGTCTTCATATAAGTCATTGTGCATTTGTTGAAATTAGGAGTTGTTCAGATGCCTAAAGATACTTTTCCAGAGTTTCTTTAATATGGTGACATGTTTGGGTTGTTGCTTATATGTAAATCATACAAATTATCTGCAAATTGTAGTATTGGAATCATTGGTCATTTCTATAAAATTCAATTTGTAATTTGTTCTTTTTCTTCCCAACTTCATTTTAAAGTGTCTTGTGAATGCTTCCACATAAAATACAAAAATTTAGGAAGATAAGGCAGTTACTTTATATCTTATTCCCTTTATTGGTCTAAAAGATCTAGTAGAAATTCCTTTAATTAGAATTTGGCATGACATCGTTATGATGCATTCCACCACCTATTTTATCCGTCTTTGATAAAATCCAAATTTCTATAACACTCTATTGATGCATTTCCATTCAATTCTGTCATAAGCCTTTTCCATATCAACTTTACAAGATATTAGCCCTGATCTACCTTTCTTCTTTTTAAAGGAATTATTCAGCTCATGAACAATTAATATACTATTGGTTATTTGTCTATTTGGGACAAAAGCACATTGATATGATGATACCAATTTTTCCAAAATTAGTTTAACTCTATTTGTTAATATTTTTGCTATTAATATTTGTTCCAGCCTTTCTAGATTTGGAGCAGTGTTTTAAAAGGCATGGGAGGCATACGCCTGGAGGCGCTCCCAAAACGCCTTGAGGCGTATGCCAGAGGCGCTGACACCTCTAAGGCGTACACCTCAGGTGCAAGAGGCGTACGCCTCATGCGCTTTTTTCACGAGGCATGCATGAAGCATATGCCTCATGCGCCTCATGCACATCTTATATAAAAAGGCAGAAACCAATAATAGGTTGTCTTTTTTCATGAGGCGTGCTAGAGGCATACGCCTCATGATTCTTTCATAGGTTGTCTTCTCCAAGTATGTTTATCAACTCATTATAGGGATAAGGCTTGAATGATGATGATGATATTGTTCCACTTATTAGAATGTCTAATTTGACTTGGTTTGACCTTGCTTCCACCCAACTAGGTTTTCAACCTTTCTGATGTTAAAGCTTATAGATAGATATGAATGTAAATATTTCTAACCGGTGTTGTTGGACTTGAACCAGACAGGAAACTGGAATGCTCACTTAGCAAAAGGTTTTACTATTTAATCAGGTGGTAAACTCACTTCGATCATGAAAACTGTCAATTAACCAGGACCCAAAAACTTATTCACTGGGTTTCTATGTCACTAGTTGAACAACTTGAACTATCTGGTCTGGTTCAAGCCTAACAACACTGGTTCTAAGTCATAAGCCATGTATCTAATTACCTTGTACAAAAAACAGCAAGATGCAATTAATTGCATCCCAATTTCACAATGATAATTTTGTCCAATGAATCTAGTATTATAAATACTAAATCTCCTCTATTTTTTCCCTTTAAAAAATAATACATTAAATATCACCTTTACTAATAGTAATTCATTCTCCTCATAAGTTTGTTTTACAATTTTACCCTCGTTACAATAGTGCATTTAATGCTATTACTTATAATGTTTTCCCATCTATTCCCTCTAGATTCTGAACTCCACCTTTCGGCTAAATCTTTAGAACTCTAAAATTTAGTGGTAGAAAGAATTTCCAAGGTAGTGGTTTGATGGTGCAAAAATAGCATAGGGTCTTGGAATTATATGATGAGAGAAGTTTCATCCTTAACTTAGGAGCCAAGAGCCACATACACTTGGACCCAAAGACCAGCTATTAGCTAACAGCATAGTTGATGCTTTGGCAAGGAAAAGGGTAAATTGAAATGAGTTTTTTGGGGGATTATTCCCTTAGCAAGAAGGGATGTAAACAAATAAATCAGATAGGTAGTGACTGCTAGCCCATACCTAGGGGTGCTTGGCACAACTCTTGTATATCATTATATTATTCTTTCATCACAACTGATAAAATTTCTGTTTCTTAATGATGACAAGCCATGATCTTGTGTATCAATTTTCAAAAAAAAAAAAAGTGAGGCCCCTCACATGCCTTGGATGTAGAGTCTTAAGTAGTAGTTTTAAAACATGGAGTGTGCCCCTTTTTTGAAATAAATTATTAATACCGATTATCAAAAAATTACCCTAAGATCTTCCACAGGGCAGCACAATTGGAGACCAAATGCCAGAGGGGTTCCTGTTTCCCACCTTGTACCTTTGCCATGTTCCTTTGTTTCTCTATCTCGAACCCGCTGCAATGATTAAATAAGGAGTTCAAATCTTCTGCAGTTCTGCTCATAATACTGGAACTAGGCCAATCATGATACACATCAGTTCCATGCAGATGGTCCCATTCACCAAACTGATGTGGCATGTCATGATTTGTTCAATTTCTTCTGGTTCTCATAAAGGAAACAAAATGCTGAATTTTCTGTTTCAGCCACCAGTCACCGTTGCGACCATGTCTGCTAAATTGCTAGAATTTGAGTCCATATATATACATGTGTGCTTGTATCAACGTTAACTGTTTTCTCTAACCTTGCACAGATCTGCATTTTTTGACAATACTTAAAAGCACCATTCAGACTTGGCTCTGATGTCACCATGCATTTCATTTTTTATTTCAACATGTTTATATATATTCTTGATGCCTTTGTCATTTGGTGAATATTATTTGCAGTTGAATCTTTCTTATCTATTCATTCATATCAGATATGGTGCTTCGTAACAATTAACAAAGAGCCCTAAACAGATAGCAGAGCCTATTTACATCAGAAACCTGGTGAGACACTTCATACACTTGATTTCAAGACCCCTAATGGGAATAGTTCTTCTGACACTTCTCAATCAGAACTTTGATATTGGTTGTTGATTTCTGAAGTTGTTAGATTGAGATTGATTCCATATCCTTTTTTTTTTTTTTTTTTGTTAGGGCTCTTCAGATTTTGTAGCATTAGTTTCCTGACCACAAGAAGCTAATTCTATGTAACATTATGCTCTCTAGTGGATCGCGGCAACCATGTCCCTTCACAATGCCAATTTTGATTAATCATTCAATTTCTGCTAAATGGTAGAGTACAGTCAACCATTATTGATTGCACATGTTGAAGAAAGAGGACTGATGTTGTTATTGTGGCATTACTGTAACAGGTAATTACATCCTTAATTTAGAATGTCTCAAGGATGTACATAGAGATGAAATTTGAGTTAGTACCGGCAAATGGTTAGAGATAAAGCCCACAATGTTCCTTCTCAAAAATAAAAAATAAAAACCACAATGTTATCATGCTGAAACGATGATTAGTCCTATTTTGAGCTCCAATGAAAAGATTTAACTAGGGCAGGCGAGAGAATTGTGTTTGTGGTTGTTGCTACATTGATTTGAAGTTTTGAATTACTAGGTCAATGGGGTGGTATGCTAAATGGAGGTTGTGAGCTAGATATGTCCGCAAATTTTAAGCAGTTTTCACCAATTTAATGACTTAAGGTAGAGATGGCAATTTTTCCCACTTTCTGGATCCCTGTGAGGGGAGCCTGAATGACGGGGATGGGGATGTTTTCCCCCTGCACTGCAGGGATCAAGTGATGGAGAATTTTTCATCCCCATTGGAGGGGCTGAGAGTACTTGCCCACAGGGCTCCTAATCTCCACCTGTGGGGATCCCTACTTATATATGCATGCATGTATATATATTAATATTTTTTAAAAACATGGTTAAATATGTTTGTATATATTTGGACTTTTTTTAATAGGATTGTAAGTGTAACTGTTTTTTTTATTTTTAAATAAAACAAAAAACAAAAAATAAATGATTGACATCATAAAAAAAATCACAGGAAATTGGGATCTCTGCTAGCGAGGATGGGGACAGGATGAGAGTGGCTCCCCGTCCCAACCCTGCCCCGTTGCCCTTCCTAACTTAGGGGTGCTGTTTCATGAAATTTGGGGTCTACACTAACACTTTACTTTATAATCTGGCTATATGTTTCCATCAACATATAAAAAAAAAATCATTTAAATCAACCGATTATAAAAAAAAAAGTCATTTAAATCAACGCCTACATGTTTCCATCAACATAATATCAGCACAGCATACACAATCTACAACGATTGAAATTAGTTTCAATTCCTGAATCAGGGGGAATATTTTAATTTTGTAATGCCTTGAGTTCCACAAATTTTGTAACCTGAGGTCTGGCGATCAGTATTTTGAATATTTTGGTTGATTTAAATTCCTGAAATTACATAAATCCAAAATTTTGACATAAATAGAGAATTATGTTGCAACGCTTGAAAGGATATCTTCAGATTCGCATTCAAAGGTGAAAATGATTTTAAGGGGCTTTAAAAGAGAGGAAAAAAAGTGCTTTCAAGTTTTCAACAGATGGTTTTGAAGGAAAACGTGCATGGGACAAGATAACCTGCACTAAGCTAGTTAATTACGGAATGTGATGATCTGTTGGACCATAAAACATGACATGAAATATTTGGGTTGAGCAATCTTGATGTTGCCCATCCTTAACCCTAAAAGAAAAAAGTTGTTTAAATCACCCAAAGAGGGACAACTAGAAATCTTTAAATCCCATATTTTAGCACAAGAGTGATGTTTGCCTCAGTTAGACTTGGCAAAAAGTTGACCCAACCTGTGAACCCGACCGACTCAACCCAACCCGAAAAACAGGGTTAGGGTTTCATATCTAGCTACCTTAGTTTGAAAATCACCCAACCCTAAAAAACTGGGTTGGGTCGGGTTGGTTCATGGGTCAACCCGCTAATCCAATTATCAGGTCTAATTGGGACTTTTTATGTATTGCATTAACATTTACTATTTAGTCTTTATTATTTATCATTTACTCTTTGAATTTTTGAGTTTTCAATTTTGTTATTTTATGTTTGGAATTATAAGGTTAATTTCTTTAATCTTGGCATTTTCACGTAATTTTTCTTTATTTTTTAAAAGTCTAGTTATTTTTAGGAATGACCTGAATTGACACATGGGTCAACCCTAAACAAAGGTTTAAAATATCAATACGCCTGATATGCCGGTAGGGGTGTATGGGGCAAATCGATACCTCTTTTTTTACTTTTTTTTATTTTTTTCAAAACCAGTTCAGGGGGACAGTTTAGAGTTCCTCCACCCCCTGAACTGATCAGACCCCCGATACACCCACTTTAGGGGCTTATCGAAGAGGTCCCAGAATGATACGTATCAATTCAAACCGAACATTTAGGGCTAAGGTCAAGCATTTGCTGACCCAACCCAAAATTTAACCTAACCCGAAATTAATCTAAAGTGTCTTGACCCAATCTGAATCCGACCCACCCAACCCTATTGCCAGATCTAGGCTCAGCTCGTAGAGTCGGTGTATGTGGTTCCTGGTTCCCACTGACATAGGATCAAATCCTGCCTTCACTCTCTCCGGTCTCCATACCTACTCGAAGTGTGCCTCAGCCCAAAAGGAAAGAAAAACATAAATACTATGTTTAAACTTGCATCTTCTTGTACACTGATACTGGCATTCCTCCTCCATAAAAGGGTGGCTGGCACGAAATTAATCTCTTAAAGCAAATATGGATCCGGAGAACAGTCCCTAAACTCACTGGGAAGATGACCATTTCAGGAATTAGTTTCAATAAATACAAGTTAATCCAACTATATTTTTATGTTTCCGTATTCTGTAGATAACATAATGGTCCAATATAAGAGATGAAAGAAGGCTGAATTTTTTCAGAATATAAATGAATAAAAATGTAGTTACAAATAATAACATTCAATATTCACTCTAAAGAGACATTACAAATAATAGCATTTAATTTGCTAAAAACTTTGAGGGCGAATGCTTTCTGAGGTTTTTGAAAAAAAAAGCTATGAGAAAAAATCAATTACTAAAATAATATATATTATAATATTTAACTTTCACATACCACTTGTTTAAAGGACAATTGTTGAAAATATCATTAATTTGAATTTTGAAGGGATTAAATTGTTCTTGAAAAATCAAGACACAACTGCTTGATTTTACTTTTCTTTACAAGGTAACATAACAACTAGATACTGCAGCCTCATTTTGATTATGCTTATTCAACCCTGATGAATCCGAATATCTAAACCCAATATGAGGTTGGACTACTAAAAAAGCTAAATTACATTCGCAGGATTTCTTTTCCTTTGAAAATTATCCCGACGGGATATCAGATGTACTGAACTTTATCGACATTATTCCTAGCTAATATATTGCTTTTATCTTTCAAAAAAACATATCAGGGTTGGGAGCTTGTAGAGTTTGGGGGGTAGGTAATAATTAAATATTGCAAATACGAATAAATCGGTCCTTTTTTCAAGAATAAAATCCCTTTTTCCGAACATTCAAAAATGGTTCAAACTTGTAACTGGTTAACTCATCCAATCGATTGAACTTTGTTTTTTTTTTTTTTTGTGTAAAGAACAAATATTAAATGTATCAACAGAACACATTCAATTAGTGAAATGTTTATGGTTCCACGCTATTACTGGTCGTATCTAAATTATAGTAGTCCAAGGACCTGTAATGCATACCCGTAGTATAATACAAACCAGAGCTCATCAAATAAAATAATACTCGAAGAGCCTTCATGTAAAACTTATTTAGAAGTATAAAAGACTGACGACCTTTTGTATAATTGTTGCACTAACTGGATATATGTGGGTGTTCATTAGCTTTCTGCGGCCTAAGCCTTGATGCCATATCCTCAGATCTCTGTCAAGAAGAAAACAACGCAGAAAAGGAGAAAAAAAAAAAACATGAAATGTCAGTCCTACACCGTTCTATAAAATGGCATGGATATGTCTAATCACTCGTCACAATTTTATAAGTTTTAACAGTTTAACAGTATGCTAATGAAATAAGAAAAGAACGTCATGAGTAATTTACAGTCTTAAAGACTAAATTATCATAATCACTGTCAAGGATTTCAAATTGAGCTCATTGTTGATCAACCTAAAGCAATTCCTTGCACTTCTATGTTTTTCTTTTTGGCTCTTTTTCTTTTATTTTCTTCCTTTCTCTATTTGACTTTGTTTCTAAAGGTAAAGCAAAATAAGTATTGTATGACATTGAAAGAAGTAATAAATGATCAGAATGCATCAAAGAATGGCGGGGGTTGGATGAGAACCAATAATCAAGGCAGATATATCGACCAAAAAAGGGGTAATTGAGGATCATCTGTTTGAGTTCAAACATATTGTAAATATGATATAAAATTTGTATTTATGGCAAACTGAATCTGGGTGATGGGGTGTTGTGTGTGTGTATATATAATATATATTCTAATTTCAATAAAATTTTATCAGTTATCCATCAAAAAAATTATAATGGGTAAAAAGGAGAGGTGATATTTTCTGTTTTCCCTCCTTTTGATGGAGAATGGGTAAGCAGTCAACTATCAGCATTAAGTTGCTAACGTGCTTAAGGCAGACCCCAAAGAAAAGAAAAGAAAAGAAAGACTTTACCCACTTCATAATTGGCACATTTGAAGTGACTGAAAATATTTTGTTAAATCCATACAGGGTAGGCCAGAAGCATCTCTAGTTGACCTTATTCACTATTACCATAACGCATTCACCAAAAATGTTTGGACAACATTCTGAAAAGGCAAATGCTGTTGGCAATGGCTACTTTTGATATTGCCAAAGGAAATATTATATTTTGATAAAGAACAGGGATAGGAAAGGTTGCCAGCATCATTAAAGTGTTTCTCTGTAAATATCAATGGCCCATAGGAATAAATTTCACCATTCTAAAAGCATTAAGTTTGCACTCTCTAATGGAAACCTAAACTGTTGGCAGTGGATTTCAAATGTGTTTGAAATTTGGTTTTGCAAAATATATTTATATAGAGATATACTTATATATTATGGTTTCAAAATGTTTGCAAAATGTTTTAATTCCCGGGATCCATGTGAGTAGAGAGTGCAGCACTATACCTTTCAGCCGAGGGAGAGATCATTTCTTGTCGGGCAGTGTTTGGTCATTACGGGCTAAGAGGTTAAGTGTAAGGCCATTGAGGTGAATACCTGATGGTCAAATCTTGCATCTGCCCACAGTCCTTGGGTTGTCACAAGATGGCTCGACCCAAGGACCATTTAATGTAAATGCTAGGCCCATTAAGAGCCCATGTTGATGGACTCAGGGTTCGCTGTGACTTACAGTGAATTCGGCCAGGCCTTGTAACAAAAGTTAGGCTGAACCCATGTGACTAATGTGTAGATCAATGTTACGGTCCCACGCCATACAAAGAGAACCAAACTATCCAACACTTAATGGGTTAAGTAAGCAATAAGACTTAATGGGCCTAAAGCCCATTTCGAACTGGGCTTAAATGGTTTAATTAAATTGGGCCAATTTCGGATTTGTAATCTGACTGGGTTTAGCAGTTGGATAAGATAGGTCTTATTAACTTGAGTGTCCAGATCTGAATACAAGATTTAGATTAAGAAATCTCATTCCTAATCAGATTAGGAAGCTAATCCTGAATGGATTATAAATGAGTGAAATCCACAAAGAGATCACACCTCTCTGTGCAGTCTCTTCTCTCCCTCAGTTCTTGGCGCCATCCCAGTTTGACCTCCACCTACTGGAGCGATCAAGAAGTGTTTTTGATATTGTTTCTTGGTGAGGAAACAATTAGAATTCGTGTTCACATCACCCTATTCGATTCTTGGTGAAGAATCCCAGGTTCTTGCTGAAGAACCGTTCCTGCTAATCCTGCCTCAACATTTGCTGTGTCATCTCTAGTGGAGGCGGATTTGGTGTCCTCTTTGGGTGTGAACACTTACGTTGGGAATTCCTTTTAATTCCGTATCAGGTATTTCCTTCTCCCTTCCTTTGGTTTCAGGTCTGGTCCGGTTTTGTTTCAAGAATGATCCTTGAAAATGCAGTTTTCTAAAATAGGGAATGCAATTCTTAGATGGGAGAGAAATTTTTGAAATTTCGCCCAATCTTCCTGCAAGGTTTGGCCATCCATATGATGGATCTCTCATCCCTTCACAACAATCTTGGTAAAAAGCCATTGTAAAACCATCCGGGCTTGGAGCTTTGGATCTATCCATCAAAAACACCACCTTCCTAATCTTTTCTTCCTCAAAACTTCTTTCCAACCATCTAACCTGGTCTTCCTCCAACCTTTGCCAATCTATCCCTTCTATTTCCATCCTCTCTTCCAAGGGTCTTCTGTAAACCGATTGGAAATGATCCACAAACTTCCTGGCAATATTATCCTGATTAGTGAACGCCTCCCCCCTACCTCTAACTTAGACACAAAGTTCCTTCTCCTCCTCCCATTTGCTACATCATGAAAAAACTTAGTATTTCCATCACCTTCCTTAATCCACCTATGCCTCGATTTCTGCCTCCAGCTTATTTCTTCCCTTAGTAAGACCTCTTCTAGGTCCTTCAACTGTCCCCTCAGATCTCTCTCCCCCTCCTCCGTTCTAGATTGGGCCTAGGGGTGAGCATTCGATTTATTCGGTTAAAAATCGAACCAAATAAACCAAAATTTAAAAAACCGAACTTCAAAAATAAAAACTGAACCGAAACCGAAATTTAGAAAAACCAAAATAACCGGTTGAAGTAGAGAAGAAGAAAGGAAAGAGAAAGAAGAAGAAGAGAAGAAGAAGAAGAAGAAGGGTTTGGCCAGACTAGAGAGAAAGAAAAGTCACCTCTCCCTAGCTGACCCACTTGTATTTATTCCAAATAATAGAGTTACAAGAAAGACCATATTGTCCCTCATAATAGATGGGACACATAACTTAAACTTAGATAAATAGACCTTTCACTCTCAAACAGATAAACCAAAATGACCAAAAGACCCCTGATTCAAGTATTCTAACACTCCCCCTCAAGCTAGAGAGTATATGTCATATAGTCCCAGTTTGTTACAAATATAATCTACTCTGCCTCGAGACAATCCCTTTGTAAAGAGATCTGCCCACTGATTTCCTGAGCTCACATGAGATGTGGTAATCACTCCACTTATCACTTTCTCTCTTACGAAGTGACAATCAACCTCAATATGCTTAGTTCTCTCATGGAAGACTAGATTGGAAGAAATGTGAACAGCAGCTTGGTTATTACAAAATAGTTTCATGGGTTTATCAACTGAGAATCCCATCTCTTGTAGCAAGTTCTTCAACCATACTAGTTCACATGTGGTATGAGCCATAGCCCCGTATTCAGCTTCTGCACTACTCCTTGCCACCACTGTTTGTTTATTGCTCTTCCAAGTTACAAGATTGCCACCAAGGAAGGTACAATACCCTGTAGTTGATCTCCTGTCTGATAATAGAACCAGCCCAATCAGCATCTGTGTACCCTACTATCTCAAGGGTCCCTCCACTTCGGTATAGCAAACCACGACCTGGAGCACCCTTCAGGTACCTAACAATCCTCAGAACAGCTTCCCA